TTTAAAACTTTCTAACCCTTCGGTATTAAAATTATTTTATAATTTATAAAATTATTAAGACTCTTTATATTTAAATATATCCCTTTTACATATTTTTTTACAGTTTTTTAATTATTAATTTAATACTTTTTAAATTATATTTTAAGTATCCTTAATAAAGATTTCTATATCCTAGAAATATTAATATATTTCCTTCCTTAACCAAAAGAAGAAATTATAAACTTAATTTTTATTATCAACGACCGATTAGTTTAAACGTTAGTGATTAATTTAATGCCATTCCTCTAAAGCCTACGGATCTTTATTATTCTATTAAATTATTTAATAAAAGAATTTCCTAATTTTTAATTTATAGTATTTTAGCATAATATATTCTTTATAAACGAATTATAAGAATTTTTTCTAAATTTTATTTCGCTTTCAACTATTTTCGTAAGTAAACCCTACAAAAAATATTCGCTAGGAAATAGTAATTTTATTATTAATTTTCGAAAGCGTTTATAAAATAAATTAGAAGTCCATAGTATTTTCGCGGGCTCAGTTACTTTTTTTTAAACCTTTAATTTAATTTTTAATTTCGGCGCTAATATTAGTCGGTTATAAAATACGTACGTTATAAGTAAGTATTCAGAAATTAATCGGTTCTTTATCCTCCTTTCTTTTACTAAATTTATTATTATTTTGTACAATTTAAAAAATATTTCTAAAAATTAAAAGGTTATTTTTTCAATTAAAGGGTTAATTTTCTTTAGGCGTAATTAATATTTATACAAATATTCCGAACAATTCCTATCGGTTTTCAAATACCAAAGCGAATTATTAATTAAATATAATGCATAAAATAACTCATTTACGCTTTTAAATTATATTTTTAAAATTTTTACTCCTTCCTTTAAGCGACGTTTATTATAATAAATACTTTATATTTATAAATTCGAAGGTAGTTTAGATGTAGTTTCCGTAGTTGTTATTAATTATATTGGTCTATAATATAGGTATAGAATCGTTCGAAGGGGGATTTCTAATTATATAAATAATAAGGGGAACGATTAATAAAATAAATAATTGCGTAAATAGTTTTTAATTATAAATCTTTTAGTATTTTCGAATTCAATAATATTGTACGGTATTTCTCTTTAATTATACCCCTTAAATGTTCTACCCCTCTATTTTGTATTTAGGTATTAGGAATAGAATGTTTAAAAATTATATTATATTGGGCGAATTTGTTTTTAATTTTATTGCTTATAAATTTATTATTATATTCGACGGTTTTAACGTTAATAGTATATTAGTACTTAAATATTTAGATATGGTTAGTTAGGGTATTAGTTATTATAATAGTTTTTCGATTCGATAAGTAGTAATTTTAAATTAATTTTAATTATCGATAGGTAATTAGAAGGAGGTAGTATAATTTTTTGAATTTTGTTTTAAAGTCGAAGAAATCGACGACGAATCATTCTCTTAGGCCGTAACTCCGGTTTTTCAAAACGCGGCTAATTTATTATTTTATCTTTATTATATTATATATATTATATTTAATTAAAAGTATATTACGTAATTGTATTCCGTTAACACTTTATAAACAGTTAAGTATTTAGGGATTTGGGTAGCCGAATTATTAATATTATATTTCTATTAGTTATTTCGAAGGTCGTTGCATATATAAATTAATTTAATAACGGCGCGCTACGAACGAGGCTTTAGTAAATAAAAGGGGGATAATTTTGATAATTATTCAATTGTAAATAATATCTAAATAGTACAAGAATAAATTATTAGCCTTCTTTAAATAATTATTTAGTAGTCGATAGTCCTAGTAGAAACTGTACTTTTGTAATTAAAAATAGAAAACGAAGTTAATAATAAAGTTAAGATAGAAGGCGACCTCCTTTAACCGTAATTTTAGGGGACTATTCTTATTTTTAATAATAATATCGACCTTTTTAACCCTTTTAATTTCTATTTGAATATTACTAGCTTATAAGGAATTATTCGGATTAATATAATAAAAGTAAAGGAAATGAATAATTTTATTAAATATATAAAATAAACTATTTAAATCGAATATTATTAAATTTTTAAAAGGGTAAATTTCGTTTTTAACTTTAAATACCCCGCTAACTTAGAAGGTTACTTTATAGGCTCGATTGGATAGTTACATTAATTCTTTTCAATTTTCTCTTCCTTCCTAGAGAATTTAGTTACTTTCTTAGTGAACTTTAGATTTTTCGCGAAGTTAGTTTTAATAACGCGTTTAATAGAGAGGTATAGCCTAATATATAAAGGTTTCGCGCTTAGGTTAATATATTAATAGTCTTTAAGAGAATAATAGCCTTTTTTATATACTTTATATATTATACTGTTACCCTTCTTATACGGTTAAATTTCAGATTCATTCGACGGGAGCTTTCTTTTCCCTACGCCCTTGGGCTTTTTATTCTTGCTATCGTAATAAACGTCCTTATTTTTAATATAATTATAATTATTACTATTATATTTCTAATTATTATATTTAATATTAGATTCATTAGCGTTAAGAGTACTACGATAGATTCCTCCTTTTCCTCTGGCGGCGACTTTACAACGAACGTTATTGATACTATATTATTTAAAATCTTTATAGATTTTAATATATTTAAGAATATTAATGGTTATTTTTTTATTGAATTTCTAAATATTATTATACTACTTAAAGCGGACGATTTTAATTATATTAATAAAATTAGAGTAATATAAATTCGTAATAAGAATTTTACCAATTCTTTTATTCTATCTGTTATTTATAATAATAAACTACATTTATAGTTAATTAATTTAAATTTTAGATTTCTTCGTACAAATAGCGACAGTTTTATAGTATATCTTCTTTATTTTAATTTAGTCGTCGACCGCTTTGTAGTTCGTTATTTATTTAAAATTTTAATATTATTCGTTAATATCCTATTCTTTCGTTATTATTTTATTTTATAGTCTATAATTAATTAATAATTTCATTTAAGTACGTAGGTTTTTATCGTTAATTCTAAATTCCTTCTAATCTTTTTTATTATTAGGATAGAGGTTGACCTTTAATTCGTAAAATTATTTATTAATAAGGTCGTTTTCGGTAATAAAACTATTAATTACAATTTCGTTTTAGTCGTAGTATTTAATAAGTTTTTTATAGTTAATTCCGTCTTTATCAATAACGAATTAAGTATTAATACCGCTGTCGAAACTTACGAGTTCCGCTTTTATATTATTAATACGGGTCTTTACTTCTTTAATTAAAGGGTAGTAATTAGAATGAAGTTATTTCGGTACGGAAGGCTTTTTAGTTTTTCTTTAAAATTAATCTTTAAAGGTATTAGGAATATATTTCGATTAGAGTATAGGCTCTTATTACGATTAATCGTTATTATTTTTAAAGTAAACGACGTTTTCTTTCGTTTTAATAGGCTTTAAGAGGGTTGTAATCCGGTTGTTATTTATTGTTCGAATGTGCTAATTGTAGTGTTGATAGGTTGTATATTAGATTATTAATTATTAAATTTATTAGTAATTAATTAATTCTGTGTATTCTGTATGATTGATTTGAGCACTCTGGTATGGTGGGTTTTGGGGGTAACTTATATTTACTAAGACCTTTTAAATTAGGTGGCTGGGACTCTGGCATCTAGCCTACATCTGGCCAGAATGCCACCCTAGAATCTGACACTTGCCAGTTATTGCCAGTAAGTTCTGGCTAGAAAAGTGGCCCGTGCTAGGTGGCAGCTGGTCTAGCTCGAACCAATCAAATCCAATTAAGCAAAGCTGGCCAACAAGCAAACACAATGTCGACAGAGGTCCGAGCGTTCACGTGACACAGCCAGCGGGCATTAGGTAAGCAGGGCCAAGGTGGAGGCTGCTATCTCTGCACAGTCCATCCAATAGCGGGTCCGGGCCTTTCACCTTGGAGAGGAGGATGGATCCGGTTCTGGCTCGGACACCAACCACAGGAGACCAGCCAGTCTAGTAATGACATGACAGCGACCGCCGTCCCCAGCCCACCAACAACCCGTACACAACAACAGCATCTTCACCCGAGTATCCATTGACGGGCGCGACACCCAGCAAACACGGTTTATCGGCCGAGTATCGACTTACTGTACGTGCCCCTTGCCTCCAGCCTCCAGCCTTGGCCAGGAAGATAGCCTCGAGCGAGTGGGAGACTTGGTTGTTGTGAGAGTGGAGGACAAGCAGCACACACAGCCGGGTGCCACCCAGCCAGCCCATTCAGCCCGGCCACGGCACTGCTCCTATTCCACACCCCGCTATACACCACCACCACCATCGAGTCTATCTCCAGTCTCTCTCTCTTTGGGTCAGCTGCCAGTGCGGCGCATTGCATCTTATCTGATCGTGTTCTCCTTCTTGTCCTCCCTGCCTGTTCTTAGCAAAGACCAAGCTCCTCTTCCAGCCAAGGTGGTGATATTCCTCCTCCCACCTCGTCGCGCGTGATACCCCCTTTGCTCACCATCAGTTTGTTCCATGACTAACTTTTGTCTCGTCCATTGCTCTCGTGTTTAGGCTTGTACATTCGAATCACTACATACGATAGAAAACCGTTAACTTGCGTCGATCGTCGAGCTTGCCTCTCCCCCCCCTTCTCAACTCCCCCCTCTTCGGGAAGAACTGAACGGCACCCAACCGAACGGATACTTTAAAAAACCGACGACGTCACCTTTCTCTCCCCGAGACGATCGACGGTTCAGCGAATACTCACCGCACTCGGCAAGATATCCTCGCGGCACTCCACGTGCGGTCCCTCCTTCTTGCGCTGCTACGACCACACTAGCTCTTGCTCCCCGCTGCCTGCCGTGCTGTTGCGCTGCTGTCGTTGCTGGATGGCCGTCTGATCGTCTGACACCATCCCCCATCACGGCAGACGCTTAGGACACTGCATCCATGCCCGAAGAAGAGACTGCTGTGCTCCATGCCAACTTTGCTTTTCCGCTTCCCGACAACATCGACTCCGCGAACCTGGTCGACCCCGATAGCTGTTTCACGCGCGACCCTCGCGCCCGACCCCACAACCTTCACAGGCCTGCTCGCCATTCGTCGTCGCTAGATGGCAGATGGTCACCGCTATATGCAGCAGTCCTTCTCGACCCCTCTGCCCGCCCAGTTCGCCTCTAACACCAACATCGCGACGGGACTCCTCCTGAATTCCTTGCTCAACCATTTTATCGCCGACCCCTCCGCCGCCCAGCAAGCCGCCGCCCAAGCCAACCCCGACCACGCGAACCAAAATAACCGAGGCATGTACGGCCAGAATCACCCGCAGGGGCACAACCCCCGACTCAATGGCGCCGCGCCAGGCCGACAACCCAACATGCCCATGTTCTACAACCATGTACCACAGCAAGGTCATCCACACCAGGGGCACAATGCGCACCACCAGGTCCTCCAGGCCGGCCACTCGGGGCATGGTGCGAGGAACGACCTGATGAGCCATTCTACCTTCTCGAGCGGCATAATGGCCAACGCCAGCCCTTATACTACCAACAACCTCCAGAACGGCCACTCGGTCGCCGCTAGGGGCGGTCCGGCCGAGCAGCCCGCCAACGAGCATTGGCAAAAGCAAATGCGCCTAAAGGAAGAGTCGGATCGCGCACATTCTGCAATGACGGAGCAGCACCAACCTCACTACTACGCGCGGCTTAAGGCGCCCGAAAACAAGGGGATAGGAGGCGCCCTGACCGCGGGTGGCACAAACGCCTCTGGTGATACCGAGGAGGAAGTTAGGAGAAGACCCTACCAAGTGGAAAAGAGGAATAGAAGACAAGACTGGCACAACCTGGACATGAGTGGCCAGGGACTGCGCGCTCTTTCCTCGGCGCTGTTCAGCTATGACTTCTTGGTAGAGCTCTATATTGCCTCCAATCGATTAACGTTCCTGCCCGCCGAGATCGGCAAACTGCGTCACCTCAAGATTTTAGAAGCGTCCAACAACCTTCTTTCCGAGCTTCCCCCGGAGATTGGCATGTGCACCAGCCTCGAGAAACTGCTCTTGTTCGACAACCAGATTAGAGATCTGCCGTACGAATTGGGCTCCCTTTACAAGCTGGATATTCTCGGTATCGAAGGGAACCCAATCAACCCGGGTCTGAGGGAAGAGATTGTGGAACGTGGAACAAAGAGCTTGATCAATACCCTACTTGAGCAAGCACCAGGTGAGTACCACATTTGTAGCTCGTAACCGATGTCATGCTAACGCGCTCACTGCAGTTCCTCTCCCCCCCAGTCCTCGGAAACCCATTGTCGTACAAGAAGACGTATCACCCAGTCTCGAGCGGATCAAGGTGATGACCTGGAATATCCTATGCGACAAGTTTGCGACAACCAATATGTACGGTTATACGCCTACCGGAGCGCTCTCGTGGGATTACCGAAAGGAGCGGATTCTCCAGGAAATACGGGACAGGGACGTGGACATGTTGTGTCTGCAGGAGATCGCTACGGACGTCTTTAGGGATTTCTTCAGTCCGGAGCTTGCTCAGAATGACTACAAGGGTGTCCACTGGCCTCGGCCCAAGGCCAAGACAATGAACGAGAAGGATGCGGCAGCAGTAGATGGATGCGCCATCTTCTACAAGGGAAGCAAGTGGATCCTGCTGGATAAGCAGCTGATCGACTACGCCAACATTGCCATCAACCGTCCCGACATGAAGAACCAGCATGATATTTTCAACCGGGTCATGCCCAAGGACAACATTGGCATCATCTGCTTCTTCGAGAGCAGGCGCACGGGCGCGCGCGTCATCGTCGCCAACACGCATCTGGCATGGGAGCCAACACTAGCCGACGTCAAGCTTGTCCAGATGGCCATTCTCATGGAGAACATCACCAAGTATGCCGAGAAGTATGTCCGCTGGCAACCCCTGAAGGACAAGCGAGGCATCCAGATCCCGCAATCCGTCTCGGTCGAGAGCGACATTCCGAAACCCGAAATGCCCGAGCCGGGCCCCTCGCAGGAATACCGCTCCAACACGGACATCCCCCTCCTCGTCTGCGGCGATTACAACTCTACGCAGGAATCCTCCGTCTACGAGCTTCTGTCCATGGGCCGCGTCACGCCCGAGCAGTCCGATTTTGGCCCCCACCAGTACGGCAACTTCACGCGCGACGGCGTCGCCCATCCGTTTAGCATGCGGTCCGCGTATGTCCATCTCAACGGCACGCCCGACGAGCTCTCCTTCACCAACTACGTGCCCGGATTCCAGGAGGTCATTGATTATATCTGGTACTCGACCAACACGCTCGAAGTGGTGGAGTTGCTTGGCCCTCCCGACCAGAACCATCTGAAACGGGTGCCTGGTTTCCCTAACTACCATTTCCCCGCGGATCATATCCAGATCATGGCTGAGTTTGTGATTAAGCAAAGGAAGGGAGAGAAGGTTAAGGGGGTTATTCATGGTGGCGGGTCTGGTCAGCAGGATGGTGGACAGGATTTTGGATCTGGTTCCAAGTAGTAGGATGACGGGTGAAGTGAAAGGAGTGTGGACGGACAGTTTATTTGCTTGGAAGTGTAAATGTGATGTGGGTGATACGTACGATAGAGGAAGAGATGGATGGATGGAGGAATGGAATTGGGAAGAAATTAGGTTTGGTTTTCAAGTGGACTTACTTCGGAGCAATGAATGAACTTTCTTGTGATGTTTGTTCCAGTTCAGTTCTCATACAGACGAACGAAACGGAAACGGAAACGGAAATGTTTCAAGCTTATCCTATAGTTGAAGCGGTAGTTTGGCAGCGGTTTTTCATTCTCTTACTCTTTCATACTGCTTCCTTTTCTGTCTCTGTCCTCTCTGTCTCTGTATGTGGTGGGTTTGTACAATTTATGTTGGTGTTGAGGTCGAATTTTTGGATCATTTCTTGTGTTGCCCTTACACTTTTGTCTTTTGATTCTAGTTGCTTTCTGCTTCCTCCTGTACGTTTTGGCTTAGACGAGGCCTTAGGTTTACTAAGTAGGTAGACACTGGTCCGTACGGGGGTTCGCGTGGCGGTGATACACTTGGTGTTCTGGTATGCTTCTGTTGTTGTTGTTGCCTTTACTGAAGAAACATGAAGAAACGAAGAAATGATTCCTTCAGATACCTCTACATACATGCCTTGTTCTACTACTTACTGCCTTGCGTTGTTTGATGCTCGCTTTTGATTTGACACAACAGTCCTTTCTAACCATTCCTTCTGCACATATGTCCTCCTCCACTCACCGCAGATTCTTCGTCTCCTAAACTTCACATAGGTAAAATCACCGGCTCACAATACGCAATAGAACAGATCTCCGTGCCAGGCTGGCTTCTTCCCCTAATCGATTTCAGTTCAATCCGTCAGCATCAACACAAGATCACACTATCAGAATTCATCAATGAACTTGTAACCACTGAACAGACTTGTGCGAGTTTTCAGACTTGGCTGCTACTTCCACAATTGAATAGTCAGGGCAGCCAAAGTAAGGCAGGCGGTCAAGATGGTGTCACGTTGAGGTTGAGGCTGAGGTAGGTAGCTGTAGAGTTTCAACTTTCAACTTTCAATATGTCATGTGGGAGGAGGTATCTACAATTAGAGATATGAAACACCGTTGACGATGAAGGTAAAAACCAACGATAACCAACAAACAACGTCTGCCTGTTCGCCCCGAACATTGGACCTACTTGTATTTTGTATGCCGGGTGTTGGTGTTGAGACAAGCGTTTCAACTTGACTCGTACGTCATTTTCGCCGGCCATTGCACAATACTGCCCTTCCTGCACCTTTCTGATGAGACAAGATCGGAGGCTACCTAGAGGTATCAGGCAGGCAAGATTAGGTGGAGGTATCGATGTGATCACAGACTGACTGACTGTTTCCCGCTCTCTTTTTGGTGAAACGTCAACCTGCCAAGGTACCTGCCTCTATCGCTCTATGTATCCGATCCGGGACCGGTACCCAGCTGGCTGGCTGACATGGAGTAGATACCTATGTTGGTGAAAACAAAGTGCGTGCGTAGGGTACAAACTACCTTGCCTACCTACCTACAATCTCACTTGTTAGTGATGCCTACCTAGGTAGTTTCCTTCAAGGCGTCAGTCATGATTAGGGAGATTAATGACTCCGTTCACCAGTTGTTATACTTTCCACTTTTGCAGTCAAATTTTTTTTTTTTTGATTTTTTTTTTTTGCTTAGCAGCCAGCCTCTTGGTTATCCATCCCGTCTGCCCGGTTTCATCTAAAATCTCACCTCAGTCAACATGAGAACGGGGCCTCGTCGGGAGCAGGAGCGAAGCAACTATTTGTCGGCCGGCTGACCCCTCACCACGGCAGGCTGCTACAACTACATAAGGTTCTCTCACTGCATAGCAAGCAAGTAGGCAGAGAAGGAAGGTGCAATAGGTAGAGAGAGGCACATATACGTAATCGGGGTGATTTCAACCCTAGAGGTACCTAGTTCTAGATGAAGGTCGTGTGCCAAGTGAAGGCAGCCGCATAACAGTCACCCACCCCTCTTCGTACCTTCCCTCCCTTCCCTACAAAAGAATCGCGGGGTAGCTAGCTTTTACTCGCGGTTGGTCAGACCGCAGACGAAGTACGCGTGTAATATACCTCTAGCTATGGCGTATGAGCGGTACGGTATTATCATCAGTCAAGCTGTGGGACATGATTGGTGCGGATCGGGCTCATTCATGAACGGGCTTGGTCATGCCCACTGGCCGGTAGAGACACCAGAGGCGCCATCGTCTTGGTTTTGGTCTTTGGTCGGCATCGAGCCGTTGAGCAACGGGCAGAGCCTGGAAGGTCGCCGCGTGGTTAGAGGACTGAAAAAAAAAAAAAAAAAAAAAAAAAAAAAAGAGGGTGCGGATAACTTACTTCTTGTTCGTCTTGATGTGGCCCTCAGCCCCACAATTTGCGCATTTGCGTGTTGTAGTTCCGGTGGCCTTCTCGATCGAGGGCTCTAACGACCCGTCGTCGTTATCGAGGGGTAGAGTTCCTCCGCTCTCGAGCCGCTGTTGCAGTTGTTTCTGCCTCTCGGGCTTCATGTTGGTACGCTGGTACGTTTGAATGGTGGGTGGGATTGGGGGAGTGAGTGTCGTGATGTGAAAGATGGAGTGTAGGAGATGACGGGGAGGAAGAGAGAGAGGGGTGTCGTTCGGATGGCTATCCGAAGTGATCGCTATGCTGTGATCTATCTCGAGAAATCTTTCATGGACCTTGTCCGATGCCAGATGGTTGTTTTGTAGCCTCCTTTGGACGGGAGTTTGTGCGAAGGCTACAGGTATACATGACAACCCCAACATCAAGAATCAAGAGGTTTGTTCGGCTACCGGCAGACAAGTACATCATCGGGGCCGTCCGTGTCGCGTGTTATTGCAAACCCCACACCCCATCCAGGGTTGATGCCGGCAGTCGTGGTAATTTCCTAAACCATGAAAGAGCATATCTGAATCTTGATGAAACGCCGGCCTATGCTCCGGACAAAGGCGACTTATGGTGCCTGAGTATATCACACTACTGATTGTGGAAGTGCGGACAGATTTCCGTAAGGTAGTGTAGAGGATACTGTCATGACATTGAACCTCAGTCGATCAGATCGAGATCCGTCTTCGTATGTCTCGCTTGGAAAGCTCTTTTCAACCATGTGCTTCTTTCCCTGCCTTGTTGCGGGAGCAAATGCCGACAGCAAGATCTTCTGTGGTGGTCTTTGCTTTACCGCTAGACGGTAATTCAATGCTATAGGCTCACTGGGTGGCATCGATGGTTAGTTTTGGGGAGTTGGAGAATTGGGAGGTGGTATCAGTGGTAGAGAGTGATATAAAGCCCTTGTCTTTGTGTGTGGCCAAGAATCAAGATGGCAGGATGCTGTGTCTCTGGTGCTGGGGAGAAAGATGGTGGTGGGGGGTTGCAACTTTGTACCAGACCTCAACTCCAAGGCAATAATCTTTGAAGCCAGGCGAAGAGGCAAACAAGCTTCTAATAACAAGAAACGTCAAGTTAACGCAGCAAACCGCTGAATCACTTGCAAACAGAACAGCGAGACGAAAACCGAACAATGGAAGCAAAAGTGCAAATGATCGACGGCGTGTAGTTGCAGCGCTAGTTCTAAACCGTAAAAAGGAACCGTGTGAAACTTGCACACTGTGCCGCAGCCGCTTTTTTTGTAGGAGAACGTTGCCAAGGAAGGCATCATCGTCAGGAGTGAGATCGGGAGGGAGATCGGGGGAAGGAGGGATGCGGCGGCGGGTGCGGCGGCTGAGGGCGGGTTTGTTTAATCCGTTGGTTGTCAAGCTCTGAGAGTTCCGTCGCTTGTGGTTGGGCAAGCTTGCTGATGCTTCCTTCCCCGCCTTCTTTTTGCTGATGTTGCTGATGTCTGATGGGATCGGAGACGGGATTGGCAATCGTGATTGCAGTGATGTCCACTGTCCGCTGTCCGCGGGCTGGAAGTCGTTGACGTCTTGCAGTTGACTACAGCCGTCGGCAGAAAGATGGGTTCACGTCTGCATGTGAAGATCGGTGCAAGGCAAGTGTCGTCTGGTCTCTCTTGCAACCAATATCAACAACGTCGAATATCAAATTTTAGACAACAAAGAGACCGTTGGGATTTCAGATGGAAGGGTTCAACATGATAGATCCCCTAGACTTCTATGTAGTGGCGGCTGACGAACATCATCTGCACGCTGCAACTGACATGCTGCGCCTGTTTCATGTTGAATGGAAAAAAGTGAGACGGGCTGAGGAGTGCGGATATCCGTTGCAGATTGTATTCAAGAGGATTGTTGAGGAGAAGGTGAAGAAGAATCGTGCTCTTTATCAATTCTTCAACTCTATACACATTGTAGACTTTGACATGTTGTCCGGGCGTCTTCCGGCCCTTCAGCGACAACTCCGCTCACAGTGTCAGATTGGCGGGGCTTCAGCTGAGGTTGGAGATTGCGGCAGTGTGTTTAGCCCACTCAAGTACTGCCGCGTACCTTGCATTGCAAAACGTGTCCAATTGCAAGAGACAAAGACTCAAGTGTACCTTCCCCAGCAAAGGACATGGTTCCCCGTGGCTTCTTGGGGCACAAGACTTCCCCACCGCCGGCATCCACGGTTCACCAGCCGTGAGCAGAGAAAGAGCGTTGTGAGCCAGCCAAACACGGCTGCCGTGTAGCACTGTCCCACACTGTCCTCGGTGGGTGTGGACTTGCCTCTGTGGACTGTGGTCTGCCCGGGCCTGCCATTCTTTGGAGTTGCCCTGTCCACTGGAGCAGAGGCCCTTGTTTCTTGTCCACTGGTTCCTTCCTTGCCTGCCACTCCAGTCTTGACAGTTCCTTCGCCTTGTGCCGTGTCTGTGTTGAAAACCTCTGTTCTCCAGATCCAAAAATCCGCTTTTCTCCTTTAATCCCACCTTGGCCGGCGCCAGCTTGCTAAGAACATCAATATTAAAGACTTCATATCCGATAGACTTTGTGCTTGCCGTCGACACGCCATCCACCCGGCCAGCTCCGCCCACGCTCGAAAATTCAAAAAGAGCCAGCCGACAACTTGGTTTCCCAAAGACCGTCTTCCCGATGCGCAAATCAGACCAAAGCATATAGCGATTCCGCCCATCACAGACTGCGGTCCACCTTTATGCCATTCCCACCCGATCTCGAGTTCCATCTGTCTTCCTGGCCTTGGCGACCGCTCCCCCACAGCAGGCCACGCCAGTCCGCCGAGGGAGGCTCAGGCACGAGCACGAGGTAGTTGTTCGGCGAGAGAGAACCCCTTCGGTCCCGACCTTGACCACGACCACGTCGACATTTCCAGTCCCCGTCCGGTATCCCGGCTGGCTCAGAACACGCTTCTGAGTCGGCATAGGCGTATGCCTCGCGCGTCAAATTCAGCAAAGCGACAGCAGGGTGCCAACAACCAGCGCGACACGAGACATGAAGGTGGCCTTGTAGGCCCGGGCAAGCGCATTCCCAAGCAGCAAAAGAGTCACCAGCAGCTCGCCGCCCTCGATCAACGTCCTACTGCTGCTGTCGTCGATAATGCTGCCCCCGCAGCCGTCCCCCAAGCCAATAACAACAATAATATCACGACAGCTGCCAATGCTTTCCCCGCCCTGCCCGACGACAACAACAACACCATGGCCGCCGAGTCTCAGCGCCGCGGCTCCCTGGGCGGCGCCTACTCCGAGTCAGAGTCCGCCGAGTCGCTCGCCTTCCCGCCCCTCCAGTCCGCCCACGAGGAGAACCACCGTCAGATCAACGTGAACGACGCCAAAAACACAAACGTTCACCGTGACCCCGGTCCCGTCGAATATGCCCTGACCGTACTCAAGTCCTGCCCGATCTACGATACCATCGCCATCCTCATCATCCTGATGCAGTTGTCTCCGGCTTTCCTCGCCATTGTCTACATGCTCTTCACCCTCTTGACCTTTGTCCCTCCCGTTACTACTAGTTCCGGGTTGACCATTGCCGATATCTTCGATGGGAACCAGGGCACACCCTCGCTCACCACGCTGGTCTGTATGGACGTGGCTGTGTTGGGTATATGGCTGTTCCTATGGGCTCCCATGCAGCAGTTCATATTGGATTTAGCCCAGGTTGTCATATCCCTTACCCTCGGAGGAGGCGGAAGCTCAAGGACTAGCACGTCAAACAGCATCTTCCTCTGCGTCGCCATCATTGGGGCTTCCCAATGGACGAGACAGGCTAGGTGGAATGGTCTCTCCCATTTGAGTACCCTCTTTGGCACGAATCGCTTCTTTCCGACCAGTCATGGTGGTCCTATCGAACATACCGTACGAGCTTTCGAGAAAAAGGGTCCGTATGGCTGGGTTAGAAGCGTTTTGGCTATACATATTCTTACACAGGGACTGGTACGGTACATTCGGGAGTGGTATCTACGCAGGGAAAGACGAGATTTGCAGTCACAAAGTCAACTGGATCCGGAGGCCGGCAAGACGGTCTCGTTTTCGGACAGCTGCTCCGACGCGGCGCTGATGGCAGCCGATAGCGACGCCCATCTGCAAACAAGTGCGGGTACTGTTTCGAACAAGAAGAGACGAAAGCAGAGCGCTCAAGTTAGAATACGACAGCCTCTGTGGGCCGCCCTGGCTAGTACAAAAATTGTTATGGTGAAGGAGTATGAGCTTTCCCATGCGGCTTCCGAATCAGCTGGTAGCAACGCTACGGATATCCACAACTTGGGGAACGCGCCGTTTAATACACAGCCGGAACAGATTTGGATTTGTTACATTGGCAGCGACGAATTCTGCTTCAACACGAGTTATTTTCCAGACTTTCCTGACGACGAAACCGTTGACGAGGCAGGAACCCCTGGCGTCAGCATCGCCAAGCCCTTTTATGTCAGAGTTAACAACGCGAAATGGCAACCGACACGCATCATTCCTATCGAAGGCACCGAAGAAGACAAGCACCAAGGCACCCGTTGGACAGGCGACATCTATGGACTTACCCCCTTATCCAACTATGCATGCGAATTTGTTAGCACTCGAACCGACCAGGTTATTTACAAGGCCAATGTCAGGACCGTCCAGGCTAAGAGTAGGGATCCCGAGGCACCCGCAAAGGCAGCACCTAACAACCAGCGCGTTAATAACGTTCGCCACGACTCTCCGGTTACTACCCTGAGGGCTTCGATTGCGGCTGCCGAGATCAAGCTGGCTGACGAGAAGGCCCGACTCAAGGCTGCGCGCAAGGAAAACAACCGTAGAGTGAACGCTGCCAAAAAGGAGGTTGAGAAACTCACGGCAGCTGTCCAGTCCGCGGGAGGTGATGACGATAAGCTCAAGCAGAAGGTGGCCCAGAACAAGATCCAGGAGAAGCGAGCCGAGGAGTCCATCGCGCAGCTGGAAGCCGAACTAAAGGAACTCGAAGCCATTCCCGAGGAGCTCCTTGCAGAATACCGTTCCAAACAGAGCACTTGGAAGTGCGAGAAGGCTCGCTACGAGGAAGCCCGCTCCGCATTCAAGAGCTTCAACGCCACGCTCGAGTCCGAACTCAAAGTCCTCAAAGACGAGCAAACCAGCCTGCAAGCCAAGCAAAAGAAGGTCGAATCCCGCATCAACAAGGTCAAGGAAGAGCACAAGCGCATTACGGATGCCAATGCTCAGGGCCTTGGTGAAGCTGAACGCCGGCGTCAGAACCGCGCCACGCTTGAAGCGGACATTGCCACGGCCGAGAGGCATCTCACTGATCGCATCAATTCTGTCAGAAGCATGAACATGGCGAAGCAGGCACAGATCAGCGACATGAGCAACCAGATTCACGCGTACCTGTCGAGTGTGCAGGAGGATATGGCGTACGGCCATGCGGCGGCAGTTGCTGGCGGTCAGTACCCGCAAGCAAGTAATGCTAGCACTGGCTGGGGAATGCCTCCCGTTGGTGCTACCGCCGCTGCAGCAGCTGTCAATAGCACTTTTGCCAACGCACCGGCTCAGACTCTCTGGCCCGCAGCCACTGCCGCAGCATCTGGTTCTTCGTCTCTAGGCCCCCAGACTGGTCCAGCAGCCCTTCTTCCGCCGCCGCCGATCGGAGGACCGTTCAGCAACCCCCTCCAGCAGCAACAGCAGTCTCAGCAAGCGGCTATCGGCACCCCGGCTCAGCAACGCAAGGCACGAGACAGATCCTCGTCGATGCTTAGTGACATCTCAGGATTCACTGAGTCAACGGATGAGGATGAGCGCGAGAGACTCGAACGCGAAAGACTTGCAATAAGCTACGGTCAGAACCATCAGCATCAGCACAGCAACGCGAACACCATCTTCGGCACCCCGGGTTCGATGCGCGGAGCACCGCCCGGTTTCGGCTTCCCGACCAGACAGCAGCGACTCGCCGGCAACAACGGTACCTTCGGTCCCATCGGCGGTGGTTCGAGCTCAGGCTTCAACGGATTTACCAGTGGTACTGCCCTGGGATCCGGCTCCGGCTCCGGCTCGGGTACCGGGTCTGCCGTTGTCTCTGTCGGCTCTGTCGGCTCGGGATTTGCTTCAGGAGGTTCAGCGTCGGGTTCCGGTGTTGACTCGGGTCGTAGCAGCGTCAGGTCCGCCGGAGACAGTGCTGGTAGTGGTAGTGCTGAGGGGAGCTCGAAAGATCCTGGTAGCCCTAGTGATCGTTGAGCTATCCTCTGCTCCGCTTAGCCTGTGTCTACTCTAGACTCTGACGTCTGTTTCGCCTCCCTGTTTGTTCGTTCTGCTTGTGCTTGTTTGAGTGTTGTCTGCTGGTCTGTTTAGGCCAGTGCTTCGTTCCGTCGTTTGTGTGTCATTGATGGATGTTGGCTGCCGGGATAGTTGCTAAAGCTAGTGCGCTTGACCGCTTGAGTGTTCGTGTCTGAGCTCATATCGGCAATGCGGTGTCAATGGATGGATGTCTATAGATGTACCTGAAGGGGTGCCGCTTGTTGGTCGTGGAAGCTTGATGTGGCTTGTCGTGGATGCTCGTCGTGGATGTGTGGGCGTGCTTGTCTCGCTGGCTGATGTGTTGACGGCAGTCGAGTTGGGAAAAGGTGTACCTAGCGTAGTATGATAATCCGAGCGGACCAGTCCTTGTTTCTTTTTCTCTCCATCTTTATTGATCCCTTAATCCACCCTGCTTATGTGATGGTGAATGTACTGCGGCAAAGCATGTGGAAAGTCGATATAAACGAAGGGGGGAGCGGTCCGTTTTATACCTTAGAGGTACCTTCAGGTTTACTGATCATCGGTCTTTGTTCCACACCTCAAACACGGCAGTTTTTCTACTTCCTTGATGCAGCTCCGATCATCTCCTGGGCTCGGTCAGCTCCGTGCCAACCTGCCTCCATGTCAATCGGTTTAGTTCAGCTCGGTCCGGCAAGCCACTTCTGTTGTACGGGTACCTGTCCCGTAGAGCCAGGCTTTGGCAGTGATTAGAACGGACGAAAATCCGATGCTAGAGACTTGCTTAAGGCCCTTGATGACGACGTTTGAGGTTGAATCACACCATCTGTCATCGTCAATTGTTCACGGGGGCGGGTACTCTACCCATAGACTCATCCGCGTTACCTTGCTCAATGTCTCGAGGCATAAGACGTGTTTAATGCACAAGTCCAAAGCAATATAGTTATCCCGATACTTCTCTGATCCTGCGGTTTATGGGTTTGGTATACAGATGGCAATACAGCTGGTGGTGATGCTATGGTCGAGTGTCCGTGATTGTCCACAACATGCTACACTCCTGCCGAATTCACGTCTTTTCATGGCTATCCTCGTGGTCGTCGAAATGCAAGTTTCCGCCCAGAGCACGGAACGATAGCAGAAACGGCCGATTTAAAGAAATGGAGTAGAAAAATTCTAGCAAGAGTTCAGACAGCTTGCTTTGAGTCTTTCGCGGAAGTATACGCATCTCCCAGGAACATCAACCTTCAAGTGAACATTTCTCCCGCTTCTTTCTCAACTCGCAACACAAAAGACGATTTGCCTTTGTTGACCTAGTGTAGCCTAGAGCAACAAGAATAACGGGAGGAGTGGCCTTGTTGCCATGGCATTTTTTAATTTTTTTTTGGGTTCCTTTGCATTGCATCGACATAATTTCGTCTTCTTCTTCTTCTCCGTATATACTGTCAACAGGTAAGGTATTTACCAGCCTTTCCGCTTCCTTTCATCTGGTGTTCGTCCCTCTCAGGTCTTTCTTTAGCTTTACTGGTGCTCTGCGTGATCTTCTTCCCAGAGGAATCCTCATCGTTGTCCTCTCGCGTGCGCGAACTACCGTAATTCGCGGCACATTTCACCGTTCAGTCCGGGTGATGATTTCTCACTTTTCCAAGTGCGTTAGAGGGTTTGCAGGTAAAGATAGCTCCTTTAGATAGAAGAGGCCTGCTTTCAAATACAAGCAGCACGCCTTGAACAACCACCCGTGGCTGACGATCTTTCCTTTTTTTTTTCTTTCCTCCCTTCTGCTAAACTACACAAACATTTCAAAAACGAGCACGGATAATTGTGTGTCAAAATCTCGCAAGAATGTTCTTGCCGTTTTCTGTGAGTTTTGTTTTCAAATACAACCGCTTGCAGTCATGACGTCCATCGTCTCCATCTCGCCGTCTGTCGCTCCTTCCTCGACTGTCGTCCTCAAGAGTCAAACACCTCATGCATATCGCCGCATTACCCGGCCGGTCACTCTTGCCTGCCGCTACTTTCCGTCCATGTCTCTTGCATTTTCCTGTCCATTCAGCAATGCTCCTTCCCCCATCCGCATCCTGAGCAAATGACTTTCTGCGTGGCATTTGTGTCCCGCACGCAAACCATCTCGACGACGGCCTGAACACTTCACCGTTGCGAATTACACCTGCATAATAGGGTACCATCATCTCCTTTCCATTCACCACCCTTCCCGTCCTCGCCGTATTTACCTTAGTGAACACTACTGCACACCCCTATATTGGCGCTGCTATATTCCCCCTTTTCTATACTTCCATTCCCGTCCGGTTGCTTGTCATGCATCGAATCGAAGCCGTTCAATCGTTCATCTACCCAGCCGGGATGTTCAATGTGACATCACCTTCCGCAGCTGGTGGTTAGGTATGGAAATTACTGCGTAGCAGACGGATGGTAGGAGAGGATGGTATGTAATAGCCTGAAGAGAACCGAACCGGGCTATTGGGACTTTTTTGTTGGATTATGCATAGCCTGGATTCATTCACACTTGCGGATATCTGACGACAAAGTGAAGTCCTTTCGCTCAGCGATGGTCTGCAAGTCGCAAGATCTTGGAGCGGCTCTTAACGGGTTAACTGCCCCTGCACTTCAATTCGTGTCATTATGTAGTGCCTCTGCAGCAGTCTGCACATGCCGTGGGCATTGATGGGATTGACGGAGGACAATTCCCAAAGCATCAAAACTTCCCAATGAACTTTTCCCCAGAAACGCCACAAGCCACATCCGTCCAATTTTCTCAATCCAACGAATGCATCGATCCCTGTCCGTCTGTCCGTCTTCATATGCTTCCCTTTGTTCAAGGTTCAAATCGTCCAAAACGCCGCCACCCGAGGCTAAAAAACCCAAAATAGTTACATTTGTACATCCTGCCAAGCTGACAGCGGCAGCAATGTGTTGCGTACGGTCTGGTCTGTACGTCACGCAGGCAACAGAATTGTGGCTCGGTGGCTCGTCGGTGGCGTTAGACGAATTTGGTGAGACTGATCAACAGATCGACAACGGGCTGGGACTCCGTCTTTGTTGAGCCCCTCTGTGGGTTTTTGGGCTCAGCTTACGACGACACCTCTTCAGAATGGAAGCTTTGTGGTACGTGTCTCAAGCTCGGCGAAATATACTCGGACTTCCTCTGGTGCCACAACTTTTTCTCCGAGTTGAAGGTTCGCTCCAATCAGCCTCAATCTACTTGATTGTCGATGTTGCCATCCACTCCCGTTCTCGTTCTCGCAACTTTTCCATTTGCTATTCCTCGTTTCTATGTAGTATAGAGAGGTCCTGTTTAAACGTTTTCTTTTTCCCTCATTGTGTTAAACGCAAAACCTTCAAATTCACCGAACATATCATTAACCACAACCCATTATGCACCTGCCCCGTTAGGTAGGTAACTAATACCATTTCGTAAATTCTACTCATCGTCAAATTGCTTCCGATGCACCACCGTTATGCACGCATATGTACAATTTCGAATGCAGTACCGAAAAGAAACTACCCAAAAGTGGCTGTGTCTTTTCCAATGTTGCGCGGCCGCTCACGTTACATACCTCGTCGACTACAATAACTCTCTGCTACCTTTGCTCGCTTTGCTCTGTGTATTCGTTCCATGTAAATTTGTCTGCCCGGTTTGCAATAATACCTACCCCAATGAAAACCTTGAATGACAAGCGAGTTAGCGAGGTGAAAATCCGACCACTCAGGGGAATCAGGCTTTGAGATGCATAACCGGGCAATAACCAATTGCCTACTACCTGCCATTTCTTGCCTGTATTTCCTGATGATGCATCGGCCGACATGCCTGACATGGGCTTGATGGGGAACTGCTGACAGGGGGCGGAGGAAAAGGCGGCATTGAGCCGCAGAGGCCGCCGCGTAGCCGCCGTGCATTGGACGCATTGCCTTGGAAGGACGGCTCAGACGGGCAGGTGGGTGAGAGAGATGACATGGGGCAGAAATGACATGGTTCAACCGACCGAGTCCGACTGGACTTGACATGGCTCGAGTCAAGACTGCAGTATGTAGTGAAGGATGAATCTTACGAGAGGACGATATTGAGACGGTTTGACGTTTTGAAACGCTTCAGAGGCTTGTTCATGATTCACGAGTCATACTTAACACCCTGGAAATTGTTTTTGTAGTTCGATAAATGTTGGACAATTGGGATTCCAATTTGATAGCACGCATTTGACTGACCATAACGGTTTTGCAGTTGAAATCAAATTTGGAAGAATAAATCGTATTAAATATTTCTCAACCTCAACTCACTCACTGGCGCAAGTAAAGAGAAGCCGAGAAGGAAATTGAAGTGAAAGTTCCAAATTAACTGTTCCTGAATCCAACCATCTCTCGCTCTCTCGCGAGAAAGAAAAGAGATAGTGTAGTTCAATCAGCAAAGATGCAGAGAAGTATGACACACCCGCTATATTCGATTTTAAGGAGAATGAGCATAAAGGTCCCATTAGGGAGATGTTTGAAGGACCTTTACTCGTCAGGTCTACAAAATCCTGACGAGTATGTCTGATGGGACCTTTATGATCACTCTTCTGAAAATCGAATGTAGCGGGGGTGTCATATTCCTCTGCATCCTCTCTTTGTGATTGAACTTTTTTACTTTTCGGCGGACGAGAAGTTTCTGAACTCCCTAGGGATATTTCCCTTAGATGTCGTATATGGAGGTGTGGTTCTGTTTTACCCACCGGACCAGTAGTTAATAGTTACGTTTCAAGTTTCCGACACAATATCCATTATACACATAATAACTTCATACAACATTTCCAATCGTCGTAAGGTATCATCCAACCACCTTCATTCCATCCATCTTCTTTCCCACCATCGTTACAACTTTCACAGATTACCCATCAAGGACGGATAATTTAGAAAGCAGCAAGGGCAGCAAGGGCAGCGACACCGAAGCTGCCGATGTAGCCGGCAACGGCGGCGCCAGCCTCAGCGGGGGAGGAAGAGGCCGGGGGAGCCATCGAGACGGTGCCGTTGCTGGAGGGAGCGGGGGCGGCAGAGACGGAAGAGCTGGGGGCGAGGGTGGTGGCGGCAGCGGCGGAGCTGGACACAACAGCGGGAGCGGAGGTGGTGGCAGCGGCGGAGCTGGAGGGAGCAGCGGCAGCGGAGCTGGAGGCGGGGGCAGCGGTGGTGGCAGCGGCAGAGCTGGAGGGAGCAGCGGAAGAGCCGGCGCCGGAGAGGACCTCCTTGCAGAAAGTCTCGGTGGCGGGGAGAACCTTGTCTGAAGGGGGTATGTCATGTTAATTTATATGTCGTTGAAGGGGCTTATATGAGGACGGGAAAACATACTCAGGGCAACGTCCGCACCGCAGGCGCCAATGACGCAGCCGGTGGCAGAGCTGACGAGAGAGTCCTTCTTCTCGCAGATGCACTTGTAGTCGGTCTTGGAAGTGCAGACCGATTCCGCGGCCTTGTCGATGCAGGGGAGGGCGCACGAGGGGATGATGGAGATGTCCTGGGCGGAGGCAACGGCCACGAAGGCGGCAAGGGCGACAGCGGAGTACTTCATTTTGAATTAGGGTTGTTGTAAGGTTGTTATTAGGTGTAGTAAGTTGTCTGGCTGAACGAAAGTCGGCTGGAAGCTGAAACACAGAAGCGAGTGTGTATTTGGTGGCGGAGAGATAAAGAAGGGAAAGAAGGTGCAGATGGGGAGGATGACACCGCTTTTATGTTTTCTCTGGTTCTGGTGGAAGGTGTGTGTGTCAAAGAAAGGCACCGAAACAGCTTCCTTCCTAGGTTGCCTCCCATTGCTCCAAAGACCCAAGCCAAGGCCCCAGAAAGGAGGGTGGGAAAAGACGGGGTGGCTGGCAACGGTAGCATCCCACTGGGTCCTACCATTTGCTACCTCCGGTAGCATTCACACCTTCCACACCTCGCACTTTTTGGCGCACACGCGGCGTAGAACCCCGAGTGTCGTCCCCGTTGTGGAGGAGGTGCTGGGAAGGAACTCTTGACAGGCCCCCTGCATTGGAGGAAATAGTTCCACTAGGCTACAGATCCTCCCGTGAATGGTTAAGCAAGATGGAGCCCATCTATGGGCCATGTCCCTGGTTCATTTTGAGCACTTGCCCTCCATCGGCCATCTCGCCCGGTCGAATTGCGGCGGCGGAAGGAACAGCAGACAGACAGACCTGCCAGGAACTGCAAGAACCGGATGAACGGGTGTTGACGACGGCAACAAGGGGGTTTGTAACCATGTCGCCCTTTCATCGCCGCCGCTTGACCCGATGAGGATTTAATCCCCAGACGGTTGACATGCGTGATGGTGTTGGAATTCATCACATTTTGCGTCCATTCAGGGCTGTTTTGGCCTGGGGATGGATGAGCTAACAGAAAGTCGCGGGGGGACGGAAAGATTGAAGATCTGGGGAAAGTGGATGAACGCATATGATTGTCATTGTCAGCCTCGGCATCGTGGAGTAGGTTGTGGGTGGTTGACAGGGGGGAGGCCTGTCCGAGGCAACACACATACGAGCGTCCACAGACCACAGGCCGGCACCAGCCCTGAGAGGCCTGACCAATCATGGAATTATGACACCCTTTTCCGTGCATGGTGACACGAGCAATAATATTTCCGACCATGTACCTGGAGTCGCACATGGGAGATGGTGACGGTGGTTTGGGATGCAGCAGCGTGCAAGGTACGAGACTTGTCAGATTCCATGCCCATTGTGTCCCACAACCCGAGATGATTCCCCATGGGCAGAATGGATCTCTTTTTGAGATTCACAGTGGAATGAAGGGTCGGGTGTCCACCTCATCGGATTTCCTGGTGAATATCACGATTGACCAGCCACTGCGATAATCAACAAAAAATCGTTGAGCAAATCGACAAGCGGAACAGCAACACAGCACTTGCTGACTGCTGTCCCAACCTCAACCCATGCCGTGCATCACGGAACACGTGTTGAGGCTTGATATGGCTTGATGACTTTCTCGATGTGGTCAACATGGCGGGAGAGCGGTATGCGCCAACAAGGGGAAACTGTAACTTTTGGTGATCCACTACACCAAACACGCTGACCTACGCCAAGGACGATAACCCCCAGCACCCGGAGCTAGCAAAAGGTCTCCGTGGTCTCGGTGAGTTCGGAAATTGAACTGCAACCATCCAAATCACTTGACTGATGACTTCCTGTTGCGACGACTCGGCGGCCAGTGTCGGAGTACATATGGACTGCGAGAAGCGACTGTCCATCACTGGATTTAGCAGAAACACCTTTGAGGCCACAAAGGGGAAATTGTCATGCGAATCCGGAGTTTACCTCTCGACGGCGATTGGTTGCCAGAGACCGGTTCCAGATGCGAGATTCATTCGATTCATTCGACCCCCGACGAGTACTCACATGACCCGACCCTATTACCAAAGCTCCCTGACCTAAGTGGATACGCTAAGACCGACCCTACACTGTGAAAAATCTCTTATCCGACCCTTGCCCCCTTAATATTTTCTTTCCCCGTAGAGAAATAATTAATTGCTCGCTTGAAGTTCCCTATAGAGAAATAATATCACTCGCGTTTTTAAATACTCCTCTTAAATACTAACGATTATATATCCAAATACGACTATAAACTGACCGCGACTGATATCTCCTTATTATATACGAATAGCCTGTAAATTATTTCTAATATATCCTTAAATTATCTTTATAAAACAGCTAATAATATTATATTATTAACGCTGATATTTTAGTTATTATTATTAGGCTGGGTTTAATTAAGTAGAATAATATAATCTTTAATAAATTATTAACAATATTTAATTTAAAATAAATGAATGATATAGTAGTTAAATTCGATAAATAAGAAGAATTAAAAGATATAACCGCTCCTAATATATTAATACTAATTAACCTCCTAGTAAGTATAGTTAATATATTATTAATATATCCTAAATATATCTCTTATTAAACGATAATATAATAATATTAATTATATAAAAGTTGAAATTATAGACCTAATATTTACTTTATCCGATAGTATTAATTAATATTTTACTTTTGTTTAAACGATATACTATATTATAATTATTTTAAATACCCCGAATCTTCTATTCTTAGTATAGCCTACGTTATAAATATTAAGAGCTTAACCGAAGTTTAGGTTAAGGCCCTATAGGACGAAATATATAAAATAAAATAGTCCGAAATAAACTAGTAATATATATAGGATTAATTCCTAATTAATTTACGATATTATAGATTTAATATTATATAAAAAAGAAAATACTCACTAAACATACTTCGTTTAATTATTTAAATAACGCTATATATTATTATATTACTTATAAATACTTTAATATTAAATACTATAAATATTTAAACCTACGAATTTAGTAAACGTACTAATAAAGGTCTACTATTATAATTAACAAAGAAATTAAAAACCTTTTATTTAAAATCCGCTTCTAATAAAATAAAATCCTTTTAATTAAGCAAACTATTATATATAAATCCATCCCTAATTTAGCTTTAAATTATTTTTTATATCGCTTTAATTTAATTGAAAATAATTATTTTCTATTAATACTATTTTAATAATTAATTAAGTATAAGCGATTAGGATATGTTAGGAAATATAGGGTTATAAAGAATTGAGGTCGTTATATAAGTTCATTTAGTATATAAGTAAAGTAAGTTTTTATTTAAAATGTATTCTTAATAATTAGTATTTTATTTAAAACTTATTTTTATTTAGATAATTACTGGCTATAATTGCTATTAACTAAAATATTAGAATTCGAAGCCGGGAGAGAGAATATACTTTTTTACTAGCCTTCCTAATAACTTTAATTAATATTAATTATACGTTAAACTAATTATTGAAATCTATTGAAAGGATTCTATACCTAACTTATTATATATTAAAACGTATACTAAAATAAGTATTATATTAATAAAAAGGATGCGCTATAGTAAATAGATTTTTCTTTAATATATTTAAAACTTTTTAAAAATTTATTATTAATAAATTAGAGACTAATTACATTTAAGGCTATAGTACAATTAAGATTCGAAATTATAATATTATTATTAACTTTTATATTCAAATCGATACTAAAACTATGCTCTATATTATTATAATTTCTTATAGTTAATATACCTATTTACCCCCCCCCCCCCTCCTAATGAAACCCTTAAATAGATTATTGATAATTTAATATAGGTATTAGAGAGGGTAGGAGATCCTAATATAATTTAGAAGAAATAAATCTGGAATATATTGTCGATAGATTAAGGATAAAATAAAAATTAATCTACGATTTAATAGTTTTAACTTATAACCCCCACTTTGTTCAATTCTTTAACGAATATAGTATTAATACAATTAATTAAATCTATACGAATTTTAATAATATTAATAAAGTTCGATTATTAATTAAAATATATCTCGCTCTTACTTAGTCTTTGGGAATTTCGAACCTTAAAATTGTAATATAAGAATATTAATTAAAATACTAAAATTTAAATATTCGTATAAATTTATATATCTAGAATTTATTAAGGATAAATTATTAATTTCTCTTTAATAATATATTTAAAAGGTCTTTAACGATATGATTAATTTTCTAATTATTTATTTCTTTAAAGAATAAATAAAATTCTTTCGTAAAAGCTTTATTAAATCCTTCGAATTAAATATAAATTATAAATATCTTTTTAATATAGAAAATAAGGAAGTTATCTAATGCTTTTATCTAAAATAATTAAAATAACATAGATTATTAAATTATTCCGAATTTATTACTAATAAATTTATAATTCCTATAATTATCCCTCTTATCTGGATGCTTATTAATATTAATTCGTCGAAGATATACGCCCTTATTTTTAAAACGGTATTTAAACTTTTTAAAATTCATCATAAATATACAATTAAATAGCGGGAATTATTTAGAAAAGGTCTTTATAATATTACTATAAATTAAAATTTTAAAAAATTATAAATATATTGTTTTATTCTAAAATCCTTCTATAATATATTTTTATTAATTCTCTAATTAATCGATATAAGTTTTTCGGCGTATATCTTTAAAATAGATCCCTACCCCCGTAAAGCTATATATTTCGCTCGCCGTATAGTATGATTTTTTTTATATCTACTTTAAGCGTAGTATTAAAAATACATAAAAAATAATCTTTAATTTTATTAAAGAATAGAAAGGTTACTTATATATTCAACCCTCAATAAATATATACAATTTTACCAGTATTCAAAATGTAAATTAAAGATTATTTATAATTATTTTTGGTTTTATCTAGGATAAATCCTAAATAGAGCCCTAATTAATTATTCTATAGGTAATTCGCAAGATGAAATTCGGAATTGGGCTTAGAATAAGAATATTCTAACTATTTACGCTAGGTATAATTATATTTATTATAATATAAATTAAGAAATATAGGATATATTTCGATTAAATACTAATATAATCGAAATATTATATTAATAATCCTATCATGAGAACAATCAGTTGATATCGTTACTTCCTTATATTTATACGTAAATTATTAATAAAAATTTATTACTAATATATTTAAAATTTATTACTAATATATTATAATTAATTTATTAGTAGGAACATAAAATTAGATCGCTATTTTATAGTATACGAATAAATTTAGATAAAGTATAGTATTAGATTTGGGTATCGAATTAATTTATTAATAGATTAATTGAATCCTAATGTAATAAAAGCAGATAGTAAATTAATAATACATTAATAATTTATTTCATATATTAATAGTTAATTTAATATA